TTATTGTTATTGTTATTGTTATTGTTGTTGTATTATTGTTATTTATAATTTATACAAATAACCTCTCTGTGGTTCGACCCCGGTCTTGCCGGGTTATTTATTACTTCGACACTCCTGCACTTGGGAGAAGACAACAATCTTTTCGTCGTGTAAACCCCCCCCACCTTAATATATATGTCTTTTTTATATAACACGTTAACCTATTTGACCCAACCATTTTTACATATGTTAGATCACTATATCACATTCACCATCAAGCGTTTCACTCGTAGTTTTTAGAGCTGGCTTGGTAGCCAACCTGGTCCAAAGCATGGGTTTCTAGTTTTAACCTAGTCACCGAGTCGACCGGGTCTATTTTTTAATCAAAATAATGTCGTTTTAGTAAAATAAAAAAGTCAACAGGTTACAACCGCATTTTTGACCGAGTCTTGCTGGGTCACACCAGGTTTTGCCTTCCCCTATTTTTTTCAACCCGGTCCGGTTCCAGCCTTTAGTAGGCCGAGTCCCAAGTTAACCCGCTAAGCTAGGCTAGGTTTCAAAACTATGGTTTCACTTAATATGATGACTTTATACTTTTTTTTTTTATTTTTATCATGTATTTTTAAACAAAGATTAACGTTTAAATTTTCAAGGTATTTGTTTCCATATAATTCAAGGCAACGATCCACTCAAACAATCTTTTTCCTACCGTTTTTCTAAAATGACTGAAACCTTCAAGCCATTTGTGTTTTCTTTTCTCTTTCATTGTTCTTTCTCATTTAAACATACTTTAAGTTTATAAATTCAATTAACAACATCCTAAACTTTTTTCTATGTATTATGACCGAAACCTTTACCCAAAGAACCTTGGGTTTTTATTTTTCAATTTCTTGTTCAAAACTCATCTAACATGTTTAATTATATGATAAATAATCATCTTCAAGTAAGCAATAATAAAAAATCCAAATTCCCTCCTAAATTGCTAGCTTAACCCAACATCCCTCTTGACAAACCAAGGGATGCTTTTCTAAATCCAACATCGTCCAACCTAGTTTAGTATGTTTCCACCACAAGACAACTACTTTACACACATTAAATTATTATTAACATCAATTATTTTCTAAACCCTAGGTTTAACACAAACCTATAATCAACCGATTCATGAAAATTACGTTTAGTGTCACTTACCCACTCCAAATCAAGAAAAAGTGTCAAGTTTCAACTATAGTTCAACACAACTTCAAAATCATAAAAAAATATGATAAAGCAAATCAATTCATTCCAAATCAACACCACCATAATAATACATCATAATCATACATAATTCATGCAAAGTTATGTTGATAAAACATGTATATTATTAGATAACTCATGCAACCCACAATCATATGTTAAAGTGTGTGTGTGTGAAAATTAAGGTTTAAGAATACATATTAAATGAGTATATGAGTAGAATTAAGTGATAACAATGCGAGAGCTTGTAAACCTAAATATTTCAAGAAGTATTATGATATTGCTTTCTCAGTTGGCCTACCTTACATTATCAAAAGGCCATGAATCTTTTCTTCAAAGTTTTATAAATTCACCTTTAGAATAACCTACTATATATCAAATAACTTAATCTCAACTCACTCATCATTTCTCTCAAATATGAACCAAGAAATCTAACTTAAAATTAGCTATTTTTTTAGAAAATTAATTAATTCCTATCATAACTTGTTCAAACAAGTTTAAAACACCTTACCAGGTGAAATTATGGATCCCAAAAGCTACACAGTTAATTTTTTATCAACCCTCATTTTTTAACCTTCAATCTAATTACATTCTCTCTTTAAATCCTTACTTGCTCATTCCTAATCTCTCATTAAACTCACTTTGATGGAGTTTAATAACCAATTTAACCAACTTAAAACTCAACTATATGTTCTTTTACAAAGAAAAATGTAAGGAAGGAAGAAGTTTGGAAGCATTTCTTCCACCCGTGGCTAGTTGTTGCCTTTTAAAGGGACTATTATTTTCCATTTATTCATGATTCCTTCACTAAGCATAATTTCTTTTCTTAATTGTTTGTACTGTCAGAATGTCTTTTCAAAAATTTGATAGAATTGGAATTTTAATCCTAGATAAAATAATATGCCATGAGACTCTTCATAAAATTGTAGCCCGATCCAATGATCAGATTGAAAGTTATGTATGATAATATAAAATTGATCAGTAGATGATTTTATGTAAAAAATCCTAATTTTCTTGTTAAATCCTTATTTAATGAAGATTCTTTTTAAGAAATGATTTTGTATGTGATAAAGATTATCTACAACAAATAATTCCTCATTTCAATAAACTATCTATGGTAACTACTTCTTTATCGAGAAAGATTATACAAAATGGTTAATTCCTTACTATAAGCATTCTCTCTAATTAACAATGTTTTATTTACATGGATGCTCTTTAATGGGTAGGTTTTTATTTCACATATAGATATACTTGATGAGCCATCCATTTAAGGTATGCAAAAGGAGTGGGATAGAAAGATGAAGAAATATAGAATTAAAAAGAGAGGGAGAAGGGCCGAACAATAAATAAAATTCTCCTACATTCATAAGATTTTAGTGAGCTAAACCCGTAAATATTACTCTTGTATTATTTATTCTTCGACATTGTGTTAGTGTTGTTACTGTTATAGAAGATAAAGAGAAGGCATGGGAATGCACCTTAGTTAAAAGTGAGCTTGGCACTATAATTTGCTATTGAACCCAAAAAGAAGTGGCTATAAAATAATTTAACTATTCTCGCAAGAACATTATTGATGATTTTTATATTTTAAATGGAGCTTTGAACTTGGAGAAATTATTTTATTTGAGTTCTTCATCCCCACACTCTACGTTATTATGTTGATAATGCATCTTTGCAAGTTATTGATATTTATTGCCTTATAAAGTTTTTTCTTAATTTTTTTTTTATTATTTTCGTAAGTTTTCATCAAGGTATAACACTCTGGAGCCTTCAAGACCATTTAGAAACCACTACTTTAAAGGTTGTTGTCTCCCTAATTAAGGTTTAACGAAAAGCATCTCTTTTTGATGTACAATTTCTGTTTAAATACTAAATTCTCTTAACTAGTTTTAATACGAAAATGAGGAGAATGTTGGTGCATTTTAATATTAACACAAAATATTAATGGATTGGAGTAAAGATGGCGGGCATAAGAAACAAAAGGTAATGCTAGCACATGGAGATCTTGTTAATACGGTGAGAATTTGTATTAAAAGTGTCCTTTTTTTCCACGTGAGGGGATTAACTTGATGGGTAAAATAGATATGCTTCCTCATTCACCATAAGCAAAAATATAATTCTTATAAATTTTATGATGATAGTCAAACTAGAAAAGTGAATTTATTCTAATACATAAAATTAGTCTAAAAATACTTGCGAATAAAATGTCATCTTACACGGGTAAATCTTTAACAAATTATTATTGTTATATCAAGATTTTTGCTTTGCTAACTGTATGATAATTAATTTAAATTTTATAAATTTTAGAATTATTAAAAATTTATATAATTATTAATTTTAAATTTTATAAAATTAATACAGATTTCCACAAGCCGATCAAAATAACATGTTAATAAAAAAAAAATTGTATTTTATATCTATAAAAAAAATCTAAAAACAAGAGCTTTTTTTTTAAAAAAAATACAAATAGAAGAGATTAATAATTCACAATTTAATACTAACGTATGACCTCTTTTAAAATTGAATGAATAAAAGAGTACGATTGTGTAATGTTGATTATATATATTATAAAATTGACAATTAGAAGATTTTGCTACACAACATTATACTATTAATGTTAATAAATTATTGTTTCTTAAAAAAAAAAGGGAAGCCATTAGTGCTCGTTGACCCTTAGAATTCCAATGGCGGCCCCTACGCCGTTGGCCTTGCTTGTTAGCCTGTCTTCCTCTCGTAAAAAAAAATAAAAAAAATAAGAAATAGTATTGAAATGCCAGCACACACTAGCTAGCAAGTAAAAAAAACCAGCCTACATAAGCGAAGAAGGGGGGAAAAAAAAAAAAAAACACCGCACAGACACGGTGAGAGAGAGAGAGAGAGAGAGATAGAGAGGAGAAGATAAGAAGCAAAAACAGAAAAGGCTGCTCCACTCTCACGAATTGGAGAAGAAAGAAAGCTCTCCCCCCCACCCTGTCTCTCTCTCTCTCTCTGTTTTAACATGGTGGAGCTGTTGTTGTATTACCACTGGCTTATTAAGCTGCTTGCCATCTCTTTCTTGGCATTAGTTTTGTTGTTAAAGATTGCAGTGTTACTTTGGTGGAGACCCCGAAGAATTGAACACCATTTTGCCAAGCAAGGAATCAGAGGACCCCCTTATCGTTTCTTCATTGGCAACGTGAAGGAGATCGTGGAAATGATGTTAAAGGCCTCTTCTCAACCCATGCCTTTCTCTCACAACATTCTTCCTAGAGTTCTCTCTTTTTACCATCACTGGAAGAAAATCTACGGTACTTCAACAACTTGAGATGACTACATAATTTGTCTCTTTCATGTACTTGATCATGAACCAAGAGTTTTTGTGCAGTTTTTACCACTTGTTGTGATTGTGCTTGGTGATCAATAAGGCACAGTTGTTTTGGGACCAATGACTTGTGTAACAAATGTGGTTTTTGAAACATCTCTGTCAAAGCACATGTTCATAAGAGTTTCTCTTGAAAATATCACTAAAGCTGCGGGTGGTGGGTGCTTCTGTTATGATGTGTTTTTTCAGCTTGGCTTGTGATCCATTCTCCAGAATTTGGGGCCTTTTTTTAAGAATTTTTTTTTTCTTGTTTTCTGAGTTCAGGTACTTCTTTTAACAACTTTTCAGCCTTTTTCTGTGCTTGGATGCTTGATGTTGAAGTTCCGAGTTTTGGACTGTTGCACTTCTTGTTTTCTTTTACTTTCTAGAGTTCTAAGCCAGACTATCATTTTTTATAAAAATTATATTTTTATGACCTTTTCTTTTCTTGTGCATATGTATTCTTCTCCAAAAGATTAATTTTGCTGGGTGTTAAAAGAAAATCATTAAGATGTAGCCTTCTTTGTCCTGGACCCACCATTTGCGATCCAGTGTCCACTTCTTTTGTTTTATTTGGAGCTTGTTTCCTGTTCATTGAAATGAAGCTGTAGGTGCTAGCAAGCAGATCGGTCTCGGTTGTCTTCTTGCTTCATTTCTTTTGTATCTGCTCTCTGAACTAATGATTATCAAGTTTCCTTCACATTCCTCTTTTAACATCTTTGATACTTGCTACTAGAGTATGTGTTGAAGTTCCTACTTCATTGGTGCAAATGCCATCTCTCTTGCCTTAATTGCTCCTTCCATTTTACTACTTGACTGGTTTATTTTAGGTCCAAATATTAACCTCTCTGGCTTGACATCCTTGCAACGCAGTTTGAATTGCATATTCTGGTGTTGTTGCAGGTGCAACGTTTCTAGTGTGGTTCGGACCGACGGTTCGACTCACCGTGTCCGACCCAGACCTCATTCGAGAAATCTTTACTTCCAAGTCTGAATTTTATGAGAAGATTGAGGCTCACCCTCTTGTTAAACAGCTCGAAGGTGATGGACTTCTTAGCCTCAAAGGAGAAAAATGGGCTCACCATAGGAAAATCATAGCACCCACATTCCACATGGAGAATCTCAAAGTAAGTTCAAAGTTAATCTAGGATTAAAAGTAGCTTTTGTATTAATTGGCTCAGGGAGGGGAGAAGAAGAAGAAGAAGAAGAATGTAGTCTCATACATTTATTTATTTTTCAATATATACAGTTGCTAGTTCCGGTGGTGGCAAAGAGCGTAACGGATATGCTGGAGCAATGGTCGACAGTGTCAAATTCCGACGAGGTGGAAATTGAAGTGTCTGAATGGTTCCAAACCCTAACAGAAGAAGTCATTACGAGAACAGCATTTGGTAGTAGCTACGAAGATGGAAAGGCCATTTTTCGATTACAAGCACAGCAAATGGTCCTTGCTGCCGTGGCATTCCAAAGAGTTCTGATCCCTGGCTACAGGTGGCAATTAATTAATGCACTGTGAACATCTTCAATTTCTTTTTTTATTAACATTTACAAGATCAGATGAATTATAATTTCTTGTTTTTCAGGTTCTTTCCAACAAAAAGAAACGTGAATTCGTGGAAACTGGACAAAGAAATCAGGAGATCGTTGATGAAGCTCATAGAAAGGAGAAGAGAGGGCTCGAGCATTATCAACGAAACACATCGTCATGGTCCTAAGGATTTGTTAGGACTAATGATTCAAGCCTCAAATTCATCTAAAGATGTAACCGTACATGACATTGTTGAAGAGTGCAAGAGCTTTTTCTTTGCGGGCAAACAGACCACATCCAACTTGCTGACGTGGACAACAGTCCTACTCGCAATGCACCCGCACTGGCAGGTTCAAGCACGTGAGGAGGTCTTGAGGGTTTGTGGATCACGTGACATACCCTCAAAAGATGATGTTGCCAAGCTTAAGACGGTAAAGCCCCCTTCAAAGACTGACGAAATTCATGTTTTGTCTGTTTTGAGATTGCTTGCTTGTTTCTACAGCCCAAAAAAAACTTTTGCTTTACTGCTTTTTTTTTAGGTTTTTTAAATTTCTTTTCCCTCTATCCTATATTAGATAGACGGATACAGTACTGATCAGATTTCTGCACTCATAAAAAAAAAAAAAAAGAAGGTATTGGTGGCAATTCCGTAATTCCAAATTATTTAGCGAATCTTGTTGTGGTGTGCAGCTGACCATGATTCTAAATGAATCCTTACGGTTGTACCCACCGACGATCGCAACAATCAGACGGTCGAAAGCTGATGTAGAGCTGGGGGGCTACAAAATCCCCCGTGGGACCGAGCTCCTGATACCGATATTGGCCCTTCATCATGATCAATCCATATGGGGCCACGATGCAAATGAATTCAATCCTCGTCGCTTCTCGAATGGCGTGGCCCGAGCAGCAAAGCACCATGTGGCGTTCATTCCATTCGGGCTAGGAGTCCGAACCTGCATTGGCCAAAATCTAGCCATCTTGCAAGCCAAATTAACACTCGCCATAATACTGCAACGATTCTCTTTCAGATTGGCCACTAGCTACCAACATGCGCCAACGGTCCTGATGCTACTTTACCCCCAACATGGTGCGCCCATCATCTTTCAGCGCCTGCCCAATCCATGATGATCAATCATCAAATACTCCAATGAAATCAAGGCTCATCATAATAAACTTATTCCTATCCTTTCGTGAGAGCGTGCAATTAAGAACTTCAGCGAGTTTCCCAGCAAAATATATAATATTGTTGCCATTAAAATATCCATAGGGCCTGTGAGGAGGAGTGGCAGTAGTGGCTAGCTAGTACACAATGGATTAAGCAAGAAATGTCATTGCCTATATATGTACCTACGTGCCCACCAAGCTCCTTCCCTCCAAGTCAAGACACCAACCCACCGTGGGTGGCCATGGGATTTCAACAAAATACATGCATTTTACCCTAATCCATGGTTTTCACGCAGGTGTTCAACGTCGAATTTGAGTTTCAATCAGCCTGGCTAGGACAGTGAATGTTTAACTTAGGTCTCTCTCATATGTATGTAATGTATATTGTTCAAGATCTCTAGACAGTTTTGTAATATTATGGTTTTATAAACCTCCTCTGTAGTTTATTATAATTATTGGCTCTCTCTCTCTCTCTCTCTCTAATCTGGTGTGTCATAAGAAATTAAAGTCTATTTATAAGCCATAAACATTATAATTTCAAAAAATTGATCAGTGCTGGTAATTAAATTCGTCCCAATTAAACACAAAACAATTAATCAATAATCTGAAGTGCGTCAATTTAAGTGGTCTTGAAAGCTGGAATTAGTAATTAAGATGTTGACATATAAAACAGGACAGATTTTTTTTTAGCTACAAATATAAAGTTTTCTTTTCATGAGATGAAGATTGAATACTTAGAACTTAAGGGGTGAGATGGTGATAATTATTTTGCAATAAAGTATGTATATTTTAAAAATATTTCTTATTTAAAAATATATTATAATAATATTATAATTTTTTTTAAAAAAATACAAGCGAACTACATTCTCAAAATGATGTCTAAAATAATAATAATTAATAAATTAAATCTAGATAAACAATGATTGTATTAAAGCCTTCTTGTTATATTTAATCATAAAATGCTAAATTAAGATACAAGTAGTAATGTGTGAAAAATAAAATTTAAGTTTTAACTAATTAACTTCTAGCCAAGAAAAAGTAAAGTATAATGTTTAAATTAAGCTTATAAAAAGCATGTAAACACTTGAGGTAATGCCCAGTTGTTTTTTTTTGTTTTCCTGTATTTAGGTTTGATCTTTTATCTGTATGTCTGTTATTCTCGTAGTGCTTTATATATCTTTTAGATTTATAAGATGTTTAGTAAATCCAAAAATTAATTGTGATGCGTGTAAACTGATATAGACATCTCGGGTTATAAAAAAAACATGTAAATAAAATAGTAAATAAATCTATAGATATATAGAACATGTAAATAAAGCTATAAAAAAAATATTAAAATAATTTGGTAAAAAAATAGACCATAGAGCTGAAAAAATTAAACTTGCAAAACTAAATTGCATAAAAGATAAATTGTGGAATAACTTAAGAAATCTGGTATTTAAACTATGTCAGAGAGTACGTAGACCAAAGAAAATATAAACGAGTAAGGATTTTAAAATGATATTTTAAAATCTAAAGTTACTTGTGAGACAATTAAAGAATCAAAATGAATTTGTAACTAGAAAATATAAAACTAATGTCCACTTTAGATTTTGCATTGGCATTTTGTTGCTCGAGGGACTCAAAATGACCTTTAATTGCTTGCATTGGAATTAGGTATGAAATTTCGGGCACGCGACCATGTTATTGGAAATTATCATAACAATCCACTTACCAATTAATGCATGCATTGTGGACATAGTTAAATGATTAATTAAGCCTCTTTTTTTTTTTTAAAATTTCATGAGCAGCTAGCTCTTAATTTTATGTAAAATGATTACTTAAAGGGTCACCAGTTAAGATTTGCGAAACCCCGTAGAAGCTGCTGGTCTTTTAGGTTACTTCATGTTCAAGTTTATAGTTTCTAGGGCATGGATGTGCGCTCAGTTCTACTACCGATCCATGGCTTTCCTGCGGGCCGAGAAGACGATGCTGATGGAGATAATTTTATTGTTTTTATGTGGCAGTTTTCGATTTCATTTGCGGTCAGTGCTCGCACATTGAACTAGTCTTAATTTGTCCTCGATCCCCATAGCAAATATATAAAATCATTTTTGAGAGACATTCTACATCAAACAGGGGGAGCTGATGAGTTTTCCTAGAAAATAGACAAAATATACAAGATCTAAAGCAGGAGGACAGTTGCAGCACTCAAGGCATGAAATGTTGTTTTAAAGCTAAAGAGACTGTGATCCGGCATGCAAATGAACTTTTATCTCCTTCCTTTATGGGGGTGTGGAGTATTTTTAGTGACAGGTGAGATTTTGAGAGCAGCAGCCTCCCTTTTTGTATTGCTTTTTGGGATCTTCTCATGCTCTCTGTTGAGGGTAACTCTAATCAAGGGGGCTCATGGTCCCCAGGAAGCAGCATGTGGCTGGGGGGATCGATCTCCCCATTCTTCTCTTCTTCTATTTTGGTGTGTGATTCTTCTGCTAAAAAAAAAAAAACAAAATAAAAAGTAATCGAAGCATGCCCTGATCAGCCATGTGATCACATCCTTAATTACCTTCCGAGACCTAATATTCAATTCTTGAGCACTCATCAATGGCAGATATATAGTATTACAGACTGTTTATTCTTCCTCGTCACGATGTAAGCCTAGAATACCGTGTTACTTGGGCCACCTTTTTATCATTTTTACGTTTTATAATGTGTGAGAGCTTTGGTATTATCTATAACTCGTAATAAGCTCTTGTGCTTGTGCTTGTGCTTGCTTGGGAAGAGCCAGAATAATTAACCCATCATAATTAATTAATTAATTAACTAACTAATACTGCAATGATCTCAAGTACACTTTTCCTGATTAATAGTAACAGTAATCCATATCTTAATCTCTTATTATTTATTTATTAGTATGGAATGGAATGGAGACTCTTTACTTTTCCTTTCATTTTGGTTTGTCTTCACATGCCTCCACGTCAACATCCATGGAGGCATGATGTCTCCCCAAGATCAACATTTATACTCTTTATTTTTATTTTTTATTAATTTTATTTTCGGTTTAGCTTGTGCATCTACAAAGAATAAATTGCTTCTTGAACCATTTTAAAAATGCACCTTTTATTTGATTTAATACATTTACAAAAATTTAATAAAGTCTTCTCTTTAAGATTTGAACATAAGAAAGGAATCAAACCTCCTTTACCGCCATGCCAACCCCTTGAAATTATATATAGGCAAAAATTAATGATCTTCTATCTCTCAATTTATTTACCAATATATTTTACCATTTTGGCCTTATATGGTTTTAATCATGGCCAATGCATCTATAATATCTTGATTTTGATATTATTCAGAATTTCAAATTCTAAAATCAAGCTTTTAATTTAAAAATTATAAAATAAAATTATTCAGAATTTCTAAGATCTTGTTATATAGATCTAAAGTTGTTTAAGATATATTACCGGAAACTTTGATTTTTTTTTTTTGGCTTTGAATAATTTCTCAAATACTAATTATCACAAATCACAAATTGTCTAATTTTTCAGCCTCTATAGTAATTTACACGAATTATCCATGAGAAATCTTCTAAATCTATATTTAGAAAAGAGGGATTGTCATGCCTAGAGTGTTAGCTCTAATATTGTGTTTACATAGTTTTTCTGTTTAACAAGCAACCCTTGTTCTTAAAAAAATAAAAGGTATAACTTGCTATTTATAGAAAAATTTGAAAAAGCCTATAAATTGATAAAATATCAATTTACCTTCTAAATGATATCCATGTATTAATTCAAGATAATTTTAGAAATTAACTCAATAAAATCCTTAATTTTTCTAAGTCTAGAAATATAATCTTTGTATTAATTATATTCTACTTCTTAATTTCTAAAATATATTTTAATCAAGTCATACTTAATTAAATCACTCTAGTTTAATTTATGACTAATGGTTCTTAATGTGTGTGACATATTAGGTTTCTAATACGTTGGCCCAAATATAAATTATAATTATAATTAAATAAAATTAAATAAATTAAACAATTTAATTTATTATTAATTCAATAATTAATTAATTTATATTTAAAAATCAAGTGCATCACCTAGAAAATTTTCATGATCCTCCAAATATTAAAAAAATCCTTAGTTATTTGACTTAAATTTTCAGTGATTGGTTTCTCAGTGTAATTAATATCATTTCATCAATAATATTCTAATTTATTATTAGTACTTATAAGTATATTTTTATCAAGGTTTTATATCATCATTTTACACTTGAAGTATCATTAACTTCTTAATTAGAGCATGTTTTATAATAACAAGTCTAATAATATAAGATACCTTAATTTATGGTAAGTGTTTATTTTAAATGCAGGTCTCTTAAATAAATCAAACGATTGATTGATGAGTTTAACTACTGAAATTGAGAAGACAAAGAGAGGGCTAAGCTTAGAAAACAAATGTTGGTTCATTCCAAACTAGAACACTATTTGGTTATTAGATTATAAATGAAGATGTAGAACTTGGATTTAAGTCTAATATATATAGATGGAAAGCTAAGACATAGGTCTAAAACTTTCATGAGAATTCAAGATTCAAAAGTGTCATTTTCAAGTTCAAATGGTAGCAACAACGGAGAAGTCAGAATTTATCTCGCAGCTCAAACACTGTTCAGTGTCCAGCCTTTATCTCAAGTTCTAGAAGTCTAAATGCACCGATCCTTTTTTTATTGGAAAGCTAAGATAATTTTCTAGAACTTTCATGAAGACTATCTTTTTAAATTTTAATTTTATCAATGATATTTTATTCAGATAAGAAGATAAGGATTATCGTAAAGTCAAGAGGTGGTCACCCACTCAACAATTAGTCATTAAATCAATAGCTTTGAATTTTAGCCTATAAAGGGAGGCATTTATCATTGATTTAGGCATCTTGGTTTTTAGATTAATATTATGTTCTTGTTCTCTTTCTTTATATTTTTGTAATGCTTAAGTCTTGCTTTCATTAATCTCTTGTTTATACCTTTCATTTCCTTTATTGTACTTGATGTAACCATATTATTCAATAGTTTCAACCACATCTACTTAATATTTTGTCCATGTTTTATATGTAAAATGCCTTGATATTTTTTGTTTTATGTTTTGAAGGCACTTTTGGATGAAAGATGCAAAAAGGAGTAAATTGAAGGTAATAGGTAGATTTGATGTCTAGTCAATATTGTGTGTAGAGCTTGAGTTTTAGTGATCAAAATGAAGTGATTCAAGTGGCACTAAAAAGCTAATATCCATACCTTTTTATAAATGTAATGCAAGAAAAATAAAAAGAGAAAGATCATGGAAATCACATTCTTCAAAGTCAAATCTCACATGTTGCCACTATTGACCTTTGTTCATTCAAAATTCAATATCTGGAGCTATAGAAGTCCAATTGACGGAAAATTAATTTTGTTGGATTCCTAACTCAAAGATCTATAAACG